GAAGGCGATGATGGGCGGGGTAGCGTCGCCAGCCATCGGGGCGGGCGTGGCAGGAGGGCGGGTGGCGTAGAGCACGGGCGGAGGGTACTGACAGAGGGCGCCCCGAGATCCCCCGCACGGCGTGGCCAAAAGCAAGGACTCGTCGCGCCCTTCCACCAGCGCCAGACACTTCTCCGCTCCGCCCACGGCCTCCTCCTCCAGCGAGGACGACAGCAACACGCCCATTTCCACTCTGACGGGCGACCCATCGACCCACGTCCAGTCTTCGGTTGCTGCTTGGCTCTTTCCGCCCACCCAGTACGATGCCGACGTCGTGGGCGCGGGGAAGAGGAATGGCGCGGCTGCTACCAGGGACGCGGTGTCGGGCAGGAGAGCCAAGTCGCCTCCGTCTGCGTCGAGGCAAAGGGCGCGCGCCGTTTCCCAGGTCGCCGACGCGGAGGGCATGGCCAGGAGGCACTTCCCGCCGACGTAAGTGTAGCGGTGCGGACACGTTGAGCCTCGCGAGGAAACGGCGGCCTCGACCTGGAAGAGAAGGATGTCGTTAAAGAATCAAGCAGCTAAATGGAATCAGAATGAAATGAGGCCAGACAGATAGACAGACAGACAGACGGCAGGGCAGACAATCCCCCGACTGACCCTACCTGTATCAGCCTATCCTCCAGCGACTTGGCGACCTTCTTCAGCTCCTTCTTCAGCTGGTCGGCGGTGGACTGGGCCGAAGCGACAGCCGAGGACGACACGCTTGTCACAGCAGCATCGAGAAATCCCAAGGACGACCTCCGTAATTTCTCGAGATGCCGAAGACTTTTGTCGAGGGTCGCACGCACTGCTTCGTTCACCTGGTCCTGCGCGGTCTCCACCTCGGCCAGCACCTGTTGGGGCCGGGAAGGTGAGATCAGGGTAAAAGGGACAATACGATGTTGATATACTGACGATAAAATGAGGAGGAGGAGGAGGATGGAGATAGAAATAATAGTTATAGGATAACAATAACAATATTGATATTATTTTCCATTGTCATTATAATAATTTTATTAGCATAATTATTATTAGTTATCAATATCACTACTATTATCATTATTGTTATCATTATGATGATTATTGTTATTATCACTATCATTGGATCATTATTATCATTGCTGTCATTATCATCATAATCCTCAATATTATTATTATTGTAGTAGTAATAGAAGTAATATTATTACTATTGCTATTACTAGTCGTAATAGTAGAAGTAGTATTACCACCATCATCATTATTTTTATTACTATTATCATTTTCATTATAATTTTCATTATTATTGATATAATCATTATTATTATTACTGTTGTTGTTATTATTGCTATTATTAATGTTATCATTATTATCATTGTTGTTGTTGTGGTTATTATTATTGTTTTTATTTCTATATTTCCATCATTATTATTATTTTCATTATTATTGTTATTATCAGTATAGTCATTAGAATTACCATTCTTATTATTATCATTATTGTTATTTTATACTTTATTATTATTGTTAGGATGATAACAGTTAAAGGCTGAAATTATATTAGATTTAAATTATGACAATACAAGAATATTCTTTTTTTTGTCAGACCGTCATATGTTATCCTTATCATCGGTATCACCCTAATTATCATTATCATTATCAATATGATCATTATGATGACAATTATGACTGCGATAGTGATTAGTATCATTTTGATTTTTATCATTACAATCATTTATCATTTTTATCATTACAGACTTATAACCAAGATTGTTTGTCGTCATTCTTAATATTAGTAGTATTTTCACTAACATCACGCTCATTATCATCGTATGTTTATCATCTTGTTATTATCATTACATTATAGTTTATATCATCACTGCTGTAATAAAAAAGAACATCAACAATACCAGCAACATCGTTAAATATACAAATAATACAAAAAAGGAAAACAGTACCTCATTGGTATGCATATGGAGGCTGGTACCGTAATAGATTCGCAGCCCATCCAGCTGGTCGCGTATTTCCCGCAGCTGGTTGTCAAGATCCTGCTTCACTTCGATCATCTGGAAGGCCATAGGCAGGTCAAGGGGTCAAATGAGGTTTAGACGTTTTGAACGATTTAAATTAAAGAAATATCATAATAAAAAAGAAAAGTATGAATCACATCTGCAATTTAATTAATGCATATTCATCTACAGCACTGACTTCTAACATTTTCTACAGAATCAACAGGGCTGGGGCTCAGTTCATGAAATCCGTATATGAATTGTACACATCTATACATACATACACACATATATGTATATGCATGTATGTGTGTGTATTATATATATATATATATATAGTATATATATATATATATATATATATATATATATATATATATATATATATATATATATATATATATATATACACACACACACACACACACACACACACACACACACACACACACACACACACACACACACACAACACACACACACACACACACACACACACACACACACACACACACATGTACATGTGTGTATGTGTGTGTGCGCGCACGTGTGTGATCATTCCATATATGATACAAAATATAAAACACAGATCCAGCAAACCGACGCTTCGCAAGTAAACGGCAAGGAACACGAAAGGGAAATAAGAGAAATAGGGAACACCTTACCCCAACGTCCTGTGCCGACTGAGGGTGGACGCTGTACGCGGTCTCGTTCTCGCCCCCGTCCGCTATCTGAGGGTGGAAGGTTGTTGCTGTTGTGGTCTTTCTCTTTTTCTCTTCTCTTAAAATAGGTAAAATAAACAATGGCAGTCGAGTATATAAAGAAAAGGATTCTTTGAACATGAATGACGATATTTTACAAACAATGAGTAAAGGAATACATATATATATATATATATATATATATATATATATATATATATATATATATATGTGTGTGTGTGTGTGTGTGTGTGTGTGTGTGTGTGTGTGTGTGTGTGTGTGTGTGTGTGTGTGTGTGTGTGTGTGTGTATTATTATCATTATCATTACTATTGTTATTATAATTATTGTTACTATCAATACTATCATTGCTATTAATATCATCATAATAATTACTATACAAAAAAATCAACATTATTACTATTATTATTATAATCATAACATGATAATTGTACTAATAGCAATGATGACAATGATAAGAATAATAATGGTATTATCCTTAGTGTAATTTTCTTCACCATTACCTTTGTCATTATTATTATCATCATTACTATCATTATTGCTATCATTAATATTATTACCATTCATATCATTATTCCTATCAGCATTGTCATTATCGCTGCTGTTCTCATTATCATCACCATTAGTAATACTAAGTGAAAAATCCAATTATGACAAAACAACGAAAAATGGACAAAAACTGTAAATTCTGCTGATGCTCTGTTCACTGGCAGCGTCCCTTTCTGGTTGTAGCTGGTAGTCGCGAGTACTTGAGCTTCGTGTATACAAACTGGCGAACGAGAGATTTTGTAAACAACGAGGGGGTTCAATGAAAGGGGTTGCCAGGATGGAGGCAGTCACATATGTATACATACGTACATACATACATACATATATATAAATATATACATATATATGCGTATATATATGTATATATATATATATATATATATATATATTATATATATAATGTGTGTGTGTGTGTGTGTATACATATATATATATATATATATATATATATATATATATATATATATATATATATATATAAATGTGTACATGACTTTTCGCCGAATGCTTTCCACTGACAGCCTTTCGAGCGAACGGCCGATTCGACATTCTACCAAATGGAGCTTAGGTAAGTTTACAGAGACCATTTTCATATTATAATAAGGAAATACACACACAACACATACACACACACACACGTCATATATATATATATATATATATATATATATATATATATATATATATATATGTGTGTGTGTGTGTGTGTGTGTGTGTGTGTGTGTGGTGTGTGTGTGTGTGTGTGTGTGTGTGCAAATGTTTTTTTTCTGCCACTTACCGGCACTACGCAAAGTTGGTTTGCGTTTTCGCGGAAGTTCATCTCCGTCAGGTTCCGGAGAGCAAGCAAGGGCGCCACGGCCGTCGTGAGGTTCTCGTGCGCCCGAACGAGGACTTCGATGTCGCCTTTTGCGATCGCCAAGGCCTCAGTCAAGGTGGTGTTTATCGTTTCTTGTACCAGAATCCCGACGTCCTCTTCCTGTTTCATCGCGCTGGTCGTAAGCGTATTCTGCAGCTCCTGAAGGCGATCGTCCATACCTGTGAGGACGTCTCGAGTTTCTGAGCGCACCAGCGTCATGACTGAAGCGAGGGCAGCGAGGAGGGTATCCTGTAGGACGCGCTGTCTGAGGGAAGAGGTGTGCAGGACGGCCCCGAGGCGCTTGTCCATGGCCACGTTGGAGACTCGGATTCGATTGAGGACGGCAGTAAACAGCTGCTTCGTAGTGTTAGTCGAAGGGCGCTCCACGTCCTCGAGGCGAGCTAAGGATTCTTGGATCTCCGTCAGCGCCTCACAACCGGGAGGAGAGGAGGGAGACGCAAGGGAAAGTGACGCGTTCTCCACGGTCTCTCGTAGTTGGTTCTTCATCCCCTCGAGGGCCCCGTCGACGGCGAGGGTGAAGTTGGTAGCCTGGGCTTCCAGCAACTCTGAGGTTTCTTCCCGGCCGTCGGAAGCGCTAAGGATCCCATCGAGGCGCTGTTCTAGCTGAGCGACGCTCGCCGCCACGGCACTAAAGGTGGCATTGAGGGCCCTCACGTCGTCACTCAGCGAATCAAGCTTGGCTCCCATTGCACTCAAGGCCTCCGCTGGTCCGGGATTACCTTCCTCGCTTGGCCGACCCCCCAGGCCCTCGGCTGAAGGCTTCCTCTCTGAGACCAGCGCCGTCAGCTCCACAATCTTGGCCTCCAAGACATCCACTTTATTAACTTTGTCGATGAGAGCGTCCAGCTTTTGG